CATGTATGCATGCATGCACACATGCATAACTGCATGCATGCATGTATACATGCATACATTGCTATATGCATACATGCATACACACAGGCATACATACATACATACCAACTGATGTGTATATACATACGTGTGTACATACCTACATGCATACATACATACGCACACACATGCACACATCCAACTATACACAGACATACATACCCATACATATATACATACAGACAGACATGCCTACATACAGACAGACTGACAGACAGACAGACATACCGACATATACTTATACATACATACATACATACATACATACATACATACATACATACACACATACATACAGACAGACAGACAGACAGACATACATACATACATACAGACATATACACACATATACACACATACATACATACATACATACATACATACATACATACATGCATACATACACACACATACATCCATACATACATACATACATACATACATACATACATACATACATACATACATACACACATACACACATACACACATACACATACATACATACATACATACACACACGTAGACAGACACACATACAGACATGCAGGCAGACAGACAGGCATGCATGCATACATACATGACTACATTTAGACATACCCATACGTTGAGAGAGGAATGCATTCACATGTGTGTATATGTATATCTATATACACATATTCTGTCATTGTACCCATTCTGATAAGGGTACCGAGTGGGCCTTCTTCGGGGTCTCTTGAGGCGGTTTTCAGGCCCTCTGGGGCCGTCTTGGTCCCTCAGGGTAATCTTGGGGGCCTCTTGGGGCTGATCTGTGGCGGTCTGGGAGCCCAGTTGGGCTGTCTCGGGGTCCTGGGCTTGTCTGGGGGCCCTCTGGGGCCCTCCTGGAGCGTCTTGGGGCCGTCTTGGGTCTCTTCGACCGTCTCGGGCGCTGTGTAGACCGAGAAGCTGAGTATACGAAAATTGCACCAGAACCTACGAACAAAAACGATAATTCTCACCTCTTGAGGGCCTCTTTGGAGTCGTCTTCGGGCTCCCTCGGGCCATCTGCAGAGCCCGTTGGGCCCTCGAGTTCCAATCTTGGGCCATCTTGGGCCATCTTGGGCCCATCGTTGCCATCTGGGGACGCTCGTCGGGCACTCCTGTGGCTTCCTGCGGCCGTCCCCGGCCGTCTTGGGGTCCTCAGGGGCCGTTTTGTGCCCTCCTGGGTCTTTCTCGACTGGCTCTTGGACCGGGCCTGGAGTTGTGCCAGGTCATTTTTCCCAACCATCCTGTGGTGTTGGGTCCTCGTTTTGAAGAGACGGTGCCCCGCGTTTCCTCTCCTCCTCCTCCTCCTCCTCCTCCTCCTCCTCCTCCTCCTCCTCCTCCTCCTCCTCCCCCTCCTTGCCTCTGCCCTCCGCGCATGTTTCTGTTTCGGCACAACCAGTACAACGTTTCGTACCCCCATAGGGAGCTCCACCGAAGGCCCCAGTGGATGGGCCCGCATGTCGCCACCTCGCCATTTCGGCACACCCCTCACACGCTTCGTGGCCCCGTGGGGAGCTCCACCGAAGGCCCCAGTGCCAGGGCCCGCATGCCGCCACCTCGCCTTTCAAACGTTTCGTAGCCCCGTAGGGAGCTCTACCGATGGCCCCAGTGCCAGGACCCGCATGCCGCCACTTCGCCATTTCGACACACCCCTCACACGCTTCGTAGCTTCATAGGGCGCTCTACCGAAGGCCCCATTGCCAGGGCCCACATGCCGCCACCTCGCCATTCCGGCACACGCCTCACACGTTTCGTAGCTTCATAATTCGGGAGCTTCACCGAGGGCAGGGCCTGCATGCCGCCACGCCATTTCGGTACACCCCTCACACGTTTCGTAGCCCCGTAGGGAGCTCCACCGAAGGCCCCAGTGGCAGGGCTCGCTTGCCGCCACCTCGCAATTTCTGCACACCCGTCACACGCTACCTGGCTCCATGGGAAGCTCCACCAAAGGCCCCAGTGGCTGCGTTCGTATGTGGTTCCACCCCCCATTTCGGCGAGCCCCTCATGCGTTCCGTTGGCCCCACAGGGAGCTTCACAGAAGGCCCCAGTGGCAGCGCCCGCATGCGGTTCCATCCAACATTTTGGCGTACCCCTCGCACGTTTCGTGGCCTGAGGCGGAACCACCGAAGGCCGCAGCGGCAGGGTCCGCATCTCGGTGCCGGCCCATTTCTGCACACCCCTCGCACGCTTCGTGACCCCATAGGGAGCTCCACCGAAAGCCCCAGTGGAAAAGGCCGCCTGCCGCCGACGGGCCACTTTGGCACACCCCTCACACGTGTCGCGGCCGCAAAGGAGGATCCACCGAAGATGTTGCTCACAACTGCGGTACGTATCACTGCTTATGGTTGGGTCTTTCGCCAGGTTCTTTACATGTATACATATACACACATGTATACATTGAATTCGTACGGATGTATATATATACACATAGTTGTATATAAGTGTGTCTATGTATAGGTATAGGTAGATGTATAGGTATGTGTATACATAAGTAGTTTTGTATATATCGATATGTGTATGTAGATGTATACAGATATACATGTATTTGAGAGATCCCCCGCCCCGGGCCCCGGGGCCAGGACCTCGCTCATACTTTCGTGCCCCCCTCCCCCGGGACCTCCCGGGCGAACCCAGGAGGTCTCGGCAAGCCCGAGAGTCTTCCAAGACCGCCCAAGATATCCTCCGACTGAGCCTCGATGCCCCATAAGCGCCCCACGAGAGCCCCAAGACAGCTCCAGATGACATCGCGGCAGCCCCAGAGGCGCCCCAGGAGCCACAAGAGGCTCCGCGGGGACCTCTCGGTACGGCCTCCAGAAAGCTTGATCGTCCCATTCCTTTAGGACAACGTACATTGTCAGCATATTAGTTTTGGTATTCCTGGAAGGTTTTCACAGCGTCCTAGACAGCCCCAACGGCCCCCAAGACAGGCCCATGAGGCCCCAAGATGGCGCCAAGACGGCCCGAGAGGGTCCCAAGTTAGTCAGGAGGCGCCCAAGACGGCCCAGGACGGCCCCAAGAGAGCCCCAGTGGCTCCAAACATGGCCCCAAGACCGTCTGGGAGGCCCCAGGGACGCTCACAAGAAGCCTTCAGAAGCTTCCAAGCGGCTTGAAAGAGGCGCCGAGAGGCCTTCAAGAGGCCTTGCAGAGGCTTCCTGAGGTCCTTGTGTGCGTCTGTGTTCAATTGTATTTGTGTGTATGTGTGTTTATGTGTGATTGTGTGTGTGTGCGTGCGTGCGTGCGTGTGTGTGTGTGTGTGTGTGTGTGTGTGTGTGTGTGTGTGTGTGTGTCTGCCTGTCTATCTGTCTGTCTGTCTGTCTGTCTGTCTGTCTGTCTGTCTGTCTGTCTGTCTGTGTGCCTGCCTGTCTGTCTGCCTGCCTGCCTGACTGACTGCCTGCCTGCCTGCCTGCCTGTCTGTCTGCCTGCCTGTCTGTCTGTCTGTCTGTCTGTCTGTCTGTGTAAACGAGTTTGTGTGTGTGAGTGTGTGTGCGTGTGTGTGTGTGTGTGTTTGTGCGCGTGTGCGCGTGCGTGCGTGTGCGGGTGTTTCAGCGTGTGTGTAGGTTGCGCGCGCGTGTGTGTATGTGTGTGTGTGTGTGCGTGCGTGCGTGCGTGCGTGCGTGCGTGTGTGTGTGTGTGCTGTGTGTGTGCTGGGTGTGCTGTGTGTGTGCTGTGTGTGTGCTGTGTGTGCTGTGTGTGTGTGTGTGCTGTGTGTGCTGTGTGTGTGCTGTGTGTGTGTGCTGTGTTTGCGGGTGCGTGTGTGAGCGCATACGGGTTGCGACGAGGGGACAGGGGTGGGGGGTGGGGGGCAACTATCCAGTGGCCAGGCGGTTGCATGATATGAATTATTATGCGCTTGCGCGTGTGCGCGCGTGCCTCGGCGTGTCTGCGCGCGTGCGTTTCCGTGTGCGTGCGTGCCTCTCTGTGCGTGTGAGCGTGTGTGGACGTGTGCGCTCGGACCACCACCTTCACATGGGAAGCTCCGGATCCGGTCCTGGGGAACCAGGGGGAGGAAGAGTTTGAGACCCCGGGTGACCCCAAAGGGGTCGACGCATTCCTCATCCAGGCAGCTGGTCCTAAAGGCCAGGGTGCGAGCGTGCTTACGTGTGGGTGTCACCTTCTATCTCTGTCCTCAAGTGTGTACGTATGGGATGTGGCGTCGAGGTTCTCTCTCTCTCTCTCTATCTCTCTCTCTCTCTCTCTTTCTTTTTTTCTCTCTCTCTCTCTCTCTCTCTTCATCTCCCAAGTTTCTTCCTCTCTCCCAGCCTTTCGACGCGTCGCACGTCGATCTCGCACGGCTCCTCGACCGCTCACCGAATCCACAGATATTTGCCAGAAGGGCCAGCAACTCCACGCGCCAATGGCGGTCCTTGCATGTGGAGCCTCTCCATTGGTATCTTGGGACTCGTGGATTAGCGAAAGGTCTACTGACAAGGACTGCGCAGTCAGCCATGGTCTTATCGCGCGCGTAGCGCGCGTGGATCTAGTATGTATGTATATATATATATATATAGTTATATATATATGTATGTATGTATGTATGTATGTATGTATGTATGTATGTATGTATGTATGTATGTATGTATGCATGTACGTATGGGTAACAAATGTGTATATATGTGTGCATGTATACACCCATCCCGCTTTTTGCGGACTGTGGTTTGTGTGTGTGTGTCTGGGACGCAGCCAGCCCCTGAACCTCGAACCTGGGATTATTGTCCTCCTTCCCGCTCCCCCGCCCCATCAGTTCCCCCCATCCCGTCCCACGAGGTTCGAGGATCGAGATCTCCGCCCTCCCCCTCCTGTGGCGTACCACGGACAGTGGATCGCAGGGGGTGCCCCATTCCCCTGCCCTCCTCCCTCCCCCTCCCTCTCCTCCCGTGGAGAGCGGCACCTGCCGATTCCATCGTTTTGCGCGCGCCCCCTCCCCCCCCTCCCCGGCACGGCTCCGCCGCCCCGTGCAGTCGCGAGCCCGCGCCCTGGAGACCGAGCGGGACCTCCTGGACGCGCGCTACGCGGCGGCCGCCGAGGAGCTCCAGGGGCTCCTGCGGAGGGCCGAGGCGCGGCGGCTGCCCGCGCCGACCCTGCCCGAAGGGCGGCCCTGGCTCCGGCCTCTCGGCAAGGGGGGGGCCCCGGCGACGTCGCCGCGGAGGGCAGGGGGGGTCCTCCAGGCTGGAGCCGAGGGGGTCGGAGGACTGCGCCGCATCGAGGGGAGGGCGTTTTTCTGCAGATCTCGGGCAGGTGTGCTTGGATGGCGTTTCCCCCCCCCTCCCCCCTCCCCCCCCCTCCCCGCCGCCTTCTTGAGCAGTGCTGGGCCGAAGAGGCGTGCAAGTGAGTTCCGGCCTGCGAGGAATCCAGATCGTTTTTCGGGCCTCGCCAACCCCCCCCCCCGCCCCTCCATGCAAGTAAACATGCCAGAATCTGAAGAAACACAGCCTGAAGGAACGGGGGTCCTCCAGGCTGGAGCCGATGGGGTCGGAGGGTCGCGCCTCATCCATGATGCACAGTCAAGGCGCTAAACTAAGGGCCAATTGGGGATCACGAGGGGCTCCGTTTTGTCGGGCTGTTCCTGAGACCTACTGAGGTCGGGGAAACTATTCGTGGCCGAAGCTCGCCGCGGCCAGGACAGCCCCTCCGCTCCTCATCTGGCGTTCCTCATGTGAGCACGTTGATTGGATCGGCACTGCGGCGCCATCCAGACCCCGACCGTCTCCGTCTCGACGTCGCCGACGCATCGCTGCTGTGGCTCGATCTTCCGAACCCATCTGCTCCGACCCTAGTTGGGCGGCCTCCCCAGCCTTGAGGGGAACGGATCTTACAGCTTTTCGCCGCCTTTGGCCTGCCCAGAATTTTTAGAAAGCGGCGCAGAACGAAGAGCTGGTCCTGGGGGAGGGCCCTGTGGGTCCAGGACTCCTTGGCCTTATCCCAGCGATGGCGGGCGCTCGACAACACGCACCGATAGTCCTCTCTGTCCCCACTCTGGGTATACACGGGTGCGTGTTGTTCGGTCGTCACATGAGTAGGGCCGTCTGGGCGTTTCGCGCGAGACCTCTTTTTGGTTTGGGGGAGCCGACGCCGGCCTCCAGACGTCGAGCACTGCGCCGCCCCAGCCGTCCAGTGTCAGTCGAGCCGCCCGATGCCTTGGACCCCCCCCCCCTGTCCCTGGGCCATCGTGGCCAGAGTTTTGAAAGGGGGATCCCGACGCGGTGGCGGGGCGCATCCCTGAGGCACCAAACTAGGCAGGCATTTCCGAACATGCTGGTCCTCGATCGCGGTCTGGCTCGAAGGCGGCAACCTCAGAAGCAGGACGTGAAGAGGAGAGGGAGTGATCTGAGCTGCATCCTGACGCGAGCATTTCTTTGGGGGGTGCGGGCGTCTTCTGGTCACGTGGCGCGGTCGTCCGCTTCCTCTTTCTTCTTCAAGAGAACTCGGTCCTCGTTCAGCGATCCTCGATCCCCTGCCTGGCCCTCCGATCGTCGTCGCCTTTTGATCCTCGCTCGTCGAACCTCGACCCGCAATGGTCCAGTCTCGATCGCCTGCCTGGCCCCCCCCCCGCATCGTCCGAACCCGATCGCCCGCCTCGAGCACCCGCGGGCTTTCGCTGCCTGCCCGTCCTGCCCAGAAGGCTCAGGAGGGAAAACAAACACACAGACAGAATTGATCGTCGATTCCGCAGACAATATGGGAAACTATGGGAAGTGGGGGGGAAGACAACAATTCAAAAGATATGGAAACATATGGGGAATATTTTTGTTGTGTGTATCTATTTGTGTGTCCTTGGGCCCCTTCAGAGAGGCCCTCAGCAGCCTCCCTTGGTGGCCCCCGCCCCTCGGTCTGCAGGCGACGACGACGGCGACGACCACGAACGCCGGGGTCGCCATCGTCATCGCAGGGTCCATCTCGATCCGGTCGATCCGATTGGAGATCGGGTCGGGCCAACCTTTTTCGATCCGGTGCCGATGTTCGGGCGATCCCATGCGGCCTGATGCCGGCATGGCAGCGCTGCGCATCCCAGCGCAGCCGATCCGATCATGTTTCGATCCCGTGCCGATGCGGGCACGATCCGACGCACATTCCGACTCGGGCCGACTCGGGCCGATGCCCCGATGCGAAGTTGGCAGATCCTGCATCGGGACAGGGGGGAAACGGCGACGGGGGCGGCGGCGGCAACGACGACAACGAAGACGATGATGACGACGACTCAAACAGAAAAGCATCAATGGAGGGGAGCGGCGACGACGACGACGAAGACGATGATGACGACGACTCAAACAGAAAAGCATCAATGGAGGGGAGCGGCGACGACGACGACGACGACTCAAGGGAGGCAGGGAGGCAGGGAGGCAGAGAGGCAGGGAGGCAGTGAGGGAGTGAGGGAGGGAGGGAGGGAGGGAGGGCAGGAGGACGCGGAGAGCAGGGTGGAGGCAGGACCCCTCGGACCGTCGAGGCTCGAGCTCCCTCGCCTCCCCCGAGCTCGCCTGCCCCGCGCCCGTCCTCGCTGGACCTCGACCCCCTCGGCCGTCGAGCCCCTCGATGCCTCGAGCCGTCGGGCCCCGAGCCGTCGAGCCCCTAGCCCGCGGACCGTTGAGCCTGCCGTTCACGTGGCATGGACAGCGCCGCGTCGGCCTCTTCGTTCCACCTCCTCCTCCACTTCCTCCTCCTTCTCCTGTTCTCCCGCCTCCTCCTCCTCCTTCTCCTCCGTTCCTTTCCGTGATAAGCCACTCCTTCTTGTCGCACCCCGAGGCCAGTTTTCAGGGCGGGCCGGGCGTTTCGCCTGAGTCTTCCTCACCACGTACGACTCTGAAGCTTAAGAAATTGACAACCTTGTCACAGATGGAGGGCAGGTGGTTTTCAAACTGTGGCTCTCGCTTGAGCGCTGCGCACATTCGTTTTCATCATTTTGCAAGAGTTTCACATATTGCGAGCGGATGGTTTTCAAACCATGGTTCTCGCTTGAGCGCCGCGCACATTCGTTAATCAACAACCAAGAGTTTCGCGGATTGAGGGCGGATGATTCTCAAAATGTGGCTCTCGCCATAGCCCCGGCCACATTCTTTCTAACACATGGCAAGAGTTTAACACATTGAGGGCTGCTGTTTTTCAAACATTTCGCCCTCGCCATAGCGCCGCGCACATCCGTAGACAAAAATTGGAAGGACTTCACGGATTGAGGGCGGTTCCTTTTCGACATGTGGTTCTCGCGTTAGCGCCGTGCATATTCGCTTTTAAACAGAAATTGGCAAGAGCTTCACGGATTCAGGGCAGTTCCTTTTCAACATGTGGTTTTCGCCTCAGCGCCGCACACATTCGCTGATAACGCTTGCAAGAATGATCACGGATTCCCGTGATCAGCGTACCAGACATCGCGTTTTGGAAAGATTCTGGATTATGGTGGTGCAACCGTTACGTTGGTTCGCGGTGCTTAAGTCCCAGGAATGGCGTTCTGGCGCGATTCCAGATCGTCAAGACGCCACAGTCAGGTTGATCCGTGGCGTTGGAACCCCGAGAACAATGTTTTGGCATGCTTCAGGATCTTCAAACGGTTGTCTTCCAACGAGGCAGATCCCTCAGTAAAGATGAACCGTTGTAGGGGCCTGTGAAGAGAGAGCTTGGAGCGAGGGTTTATTCCAACATGGATGATGTCTCTTCGATTTACACTTGTCCTCCTCCTCCTCCTTTTTCCTCCTCCTCCTTAGGAGGAGACAAGACACAAACATACATATGGGGAGTGGAGGGAGGACGAACATCCCGAAAACATAGAAAATATGCGGAAGCCTGAAATCTGTGTCGACTTATCGGTGTGTCCTTGGGTCCCTCCGTTCTCCTCCTCCTTCTTCTCCCCTGCCCTCGTCCCTCCTCCTCCTCCTCCTCCTCCTCCTCCTCCTCCTCCTCCTCCTCCCTCCCTCCCTCCCTCCCTCCCTCCCTCCTCCTCCATTATCCTCCCTCCTCCCTCCTCCTCCCTCCTCCCTCTTCCTTTCTCCTCCTCCCTTCTCCCTCCTCCCTCCTCCTCCTTCCTCATCCTCCTCCTCCTCCTCCTCGGATTCCTCCTCCTCCTCCTCCTCCTCCTCCTCCTCCTCCTCCTCCTCCTCCTCCTCCTCCTCCTCCTCCTCTCCTCCTCCTCCTCGTCCCCTCCTCCTCCCCTCCCTCCTCCTCCTCCTCCTCCTCCTCCTCCTCCTCCTCCTCCTCCTCCTCCTCCTCCTCCTCCTCCTCCTCCTCCTCCTCCTCCTCCTCCTCCTCCTCCTCCTCACTCCTCCTCCTCCTCCCCCTCCTCCTCCTCCTCCTCCTCCTCCTCCTCCTCCCCCTCCTCCTCCTCCTCCTCCTCGCCCTCCCCCTCCTCTCCTCCTCCCCTCCTCCTTCCCCTCCTCCTCCTCCTCCTCCTCCTCCTCCTCCTCCTCCTCCTCCTCCTCGCTCCTCCTCCTCCTCCTCCTCCTCCTCCTCCTCCTCCTCCTCCTCCTCCTCCTCCTCCTCCTCCTCCTCCTCCTCCTCCTCCTCCTCCTCCTCCTCCGCCCTCCTCCTCCTCCTCCTCCTCCTCCTCCTCCTCCTCCTCCTCCTCCCCCTCCTCCTCCTCCTCCTCCTCCTCCTCCTCCTCCTCCTCCTCCTCCTCCTCCTCCTCCCCCTCCTCCTCCTCCTCCTCCTCGCCCTCCCCCTCCTCCTCCTCCTCTCCCTCCGCCTCGCCCCAGCGGGCAATCCGCGCGCCCGCTCCGCCAGGTGGCGCCCCCCGCGGAGCCCCCGGTGCAGCCGTCTCCGCGCGGAGCGCGATCCGCCGCGCCGCTGCCGCCGGGGGAGGCTCGCGCCGCCCGCGGCGTGGGCCGCCGCGCCCGGGGGGGGCTCTCGCCCAGAACCCCTCGCGCTGTGAGCAGATCCGCGACGGCATGCGTCTTGCCGTTTTCGGGCTCCGGGGCCGTGAAGCCGTCCGTCAAGCTGCTCCGGACGAGGTGAAGGGGAAGGGGTCCAGACCTCTGGGAGTCGGCGTTGGAAACAAACGTCGCGACGTCGTGGGTGTAGGTCCCACGGCGTCGGGGGTATGGGTTCTCCCTTCCCTCTTCCTCCCTTCATCCTCCTCCTCCTTCCTCCCCTTTGCCCCCTCCGTCACCATCGTAGCTCAAGCGGCTCGCGAGCTAGGGGGGGGGGGGGGGCGCCTGCCCCCTGGCCGCGACCCAGGCCACGGCCGCGCGCGCCTGGAGCGCGCGCTCCCTCCGCGGCGTATGGGTCGCGGCGGCAGAGGCGGCGGTGGCCGCCCCATCGTGGTCAGGCACGGCGTCTCGTGCGCCAGCGTCAGCTCGCCCGCGGAGGCTGCGGAGCCGATGACCCTCCTGCAGGCGCAGGCCGCTCAGGGGCTCTGGCGACCGAGGCGCAGCACCTGCTGGGCGCCGCGTCGGAGCTCGTCGCGACCCTGGGCGAGGACACCCTCGCCAAGGGGCTGCAAGGCCCGCGGGGGCGCGGCATGCGGCCGCGCCCGCAGTTGGAGCGCGCGGGCTGGACTCGGCGGCCAGCCTGCTGCGCCGTGTGGGCCTCGGCGAGGCGACCCTCGCCCAAGCCGTGCGCTGGGGCCGCGTGGGGCCAAGGTCGGGGCCGAGGGCAAGGCCACCGCGGCAGACCTCATGGCGGACTTCGGCGAGGCAGTGGAGGTCCCGCTGGGGGACCAGGACGAGGACGCGAGACTGGCCGCGGACGCGGACGACACCAAACAGTTCGTGGGCGAGGAGCGCGTCGAGCAGCTCTCGGCGGCCTTTCTCCCTTTCGGGGGGTCCGACTCGGGGGGGGTGAGTTCATGCCTTCTTGTAAGGTCGAAGAGCGGCTCATAGACATCAAGGATCTGGTCGTGCAGATGTGGGCGGACGTGTTGCAGCAAGGCACAAGCGCGGTCAGGGCGGACACCGAGCAGCTCACTCCAGGGGTGGCGGGCCTCGAGGAGATTCGGGAGCTCCCTATCATATCATCCTTCGGTTCCCGTGCCTGGGCGACGAGGGCTGCGACAAGGCCCAGGTGCGGGCTGCTGGCGCTGCCAAGGGACTCCGGGGGAGAGTAGTACTCCCAGTCGTCCAGGGGGTGCGGGGCCATGTGGCTTAGGGGTTCCGGCTCTTGGGTCATGTGGTTGCGCGTCGTCTTACGGGTGTATGCCTTGGGCCTCCAGCTTGACCAAAGAGTTCCACAGGCTCCTTCCTACTGCCACCCTCCTGCATTCTTTCACTCCCTCCTCCCGCCCTCCTGCTTCTCCCTCCCTCCCTCCCTCCCTCCCTCCCTCCCCCATTCTCCTCCTCATCCTCCTCCTCCTCCTCTTCCTCCTTCTCCTCCTCCTCCTCCGCCTCCTCCGCCTCCTCCTGCTCAATTCTCGGCGGGGTCCCGAGTCCGGAGGGACCCTCGGGGCTCTCGGCGAGCGCGGGCGCACGCAGCCGCGGGCCGCGCGCGTTCGCCCGCTCCTCCTCCTCCCCTCTCCTCCTCCTCCCCTCTCCTCCTCCTCCTCCTCCTCTCCTCCTCCTCCTCCTCCTCCTCTCCTCCTCCTCCTCCTCCTCCTCCTCCTCCTCCTCCTCTTCCTCCTCCTCCTCTCCCTCCTCCTCCTCCTCCTCCTTTTCCTCCTCCTCCTCCTCCTCCTACTTCCCCTCCTCCTGCTCCTCCTCCTCTCCTCCTCCTCCTCCTCCTCCTCCTCCTCCTCCTCCTCCTCCTCCTCCTCCTTCTCCTCCTCCTCCTCCTCCTCCTCCTCCTCCTTTTCCTCCCTCCTCCTCCTCCTCCTCATCCTCCTCCTACTCCCCCTCCTCCTCCTCCTCCTCCTCCTCCTCCTCCTCCTCCTCCTCCTCCTCCTCCTCCTCCTCCTCCTCCCTCCTCCTCCTCCTCCTCCTCTCCTCCTCCTCCTCCTCTCCTCCTCCTCCTCCTCCTCCTCCTCCTCCTCCTCCTCCTCCTCCTCCTCCTCCTCCCTCCTCCTCCTCCTCCTCCTCCTCCTCCTCCTCCTCCCCTCCTCCTCCTCCTCCTCCTCCTCCTCCTCCTCCTCCTCCTCCTCCTCCTCCTCCTCCCCCCCCCTCCTCCTCCTCCTCCTCCTCCTCCTCCTCCTCCTCCTCCTCCTCCTCCTCCTCCTCCTCCTCCTCCTCCTCCTCCTCCTCCTCCTCCTAATTACTCCTCCTCCCTCCTCCTCCGCCTCCTCCTCCTCCTCCTCCTCCTCCTCCCTCCTCCTCCTCCTCCTCCTCCTCCTCCTCCTCCTCCTCCTCCCTCCTCCCCTCCCCTCCCTCACTCCCTCCTCTCCCTCCTTTCCTCCCTGGTAGCAGTTCGGGGCGGGGAGTGACCCTTCGCCAGGGTGACCCTTCGGTGCGGGGTGTTCGGGAGAGGGGGGAGGGCGCGGGGCGGGGCTAATCGCAATCACGCGGGCCGCTGCTGTGGTCGTTGTGGTCTTGGTCGTGGTCGTGGTCGTGGTCGTGGTCGTGGTCGTGGTCGTGGTCGTGGTGGTCGTCGTCGTCGTCATCGTCGTCGTCAACCTTGTCGTCGTCGCTGGGAAGAGTCTGCTGTTTTGTACCACGTGGTCGCCCGCCCCACTCGTGGGCGTTGCCAGGAAAAGCCTGCTGTTTCTGTTCCGCGTGTTCTGCTTCTCGGGGGCCGCTTCCCAGTCCTGGGACCGTCGCCAGACGACTCCGGGTGAAACGCGAGGCCCGGGGAAGGAGTCGTGACCTCCGGGACGCGAGGTCACGTTGTGCAACACATCACGGCGCGGTGGGAACATTTTTTGGGATTCGTCATTGGAGGCGTCTGCCAGACCTCTCCGCTGGATCTCTGGCGGCCCCCAAATCGATGTCTTCCCGTCGCAGCACCACAGAGGCAACCCGCACGGGCGCTCGCAGTAGCCGGGGACGCTCGACCGACGAATCGTCCGGATGCAGGAGTCGGCCAGACGTGAGAGTGACCTTTCGCAGGAGTGACCTTTGGTGCGGGCCCAAACGGGTCCCCCAATCGCCCAACGCGCTGCGATATCAGCGGCTTGCGCGCTGGGGTTTGGCTCCCCCGCGCCCCCCTAGTGCCGCGCACCCAAGGTCACTCTTACCCAGGGTCACTCTTGCGTATAGCCGAAGGAGGGGTGCGCGGGAAGGACGGCAGGACAGCCGCGGAGGGAGAGGAGAGGGGGGAGGGCTCTCACAGGTGAAAGAGTGTCGCGGCGAGCGGCTGGTGCGGCCATCGCCCGAAAAATAGCACGAGACGGCTTGTTGTTGTCATTTTCGGGACGGCGGAGTTGTTCCAGGCCCCAGGACCGTCGGGACAGCTGCCCCCGCGCCAGCACTGCAGATGAAGCGTCGTGTAGACACGGCGCTTCAGTTCAGTTCAGGGGGCGTCCAGCCGGGGCCCCATGTTTCAGGCTCTGGGGGGCGACGCACAGCAGAACAGCTCCTCCCGGCGGAGGGGCGGGGTCGGGTGCTGCCAGAGGCGTCCCTGGCCCAGGGTGCCCCCAGGGCCTCCACGCAGGCCCCCCAGGGCCTCCAGAGCACCCCGTCACAAAGCCGAGAGGGCCCAAGGGGCTCCAAGACGGAGGGAAAAGCTGGGGGCACCTCGGGCCACGCACACCTCCAGTAACCCCCGAAGGGGGCTCCCGCCACAGCGCGGCGGCGGCTCTCGAGCGAAGAGGCGGGCGGCGCCCGAATCCCAGGTGGCAGTCACACTGGCTGCAGCCGCGGGAGAGGAGGCGAGGTCGGGTGTTGCGAGAAGTGTCCCTAGGCTTGTGGAAGACGATCCATGGAGAGGACGCACGCTGCCAAATAATTTCCAGATGCCTAAAACATGTGTTAAACATGTTTTGAACATGTCAGAACATGTTTAAACCATGTTTAGAGCATGTGTCCGACATTTAAAACACAGTTTCAAGTCAATGGTAGGACTGTTAGGGTGTCCGTTGTCGTGGCATCCACAACCCCAGGCCAAGGTGCCCCCAGCTTCTCGCTCCCTCTTGGAGTCCCCGGGGCCCTCTGGTCCTCGTGACGGGGTGCTCTGGAGGGCGCGGGGGGTCTCCTTGGAGATCCTGGGGGCACCCTGGGCAGGGGGCGCCGTGGGGAGGTCCAGCACCCGACGAGGCAGGGAGGATCGAGGAGCGAGGCTTTCGAACGTTTTTTTTGGGGGAGGGGGGGGGGGGGCCCGGGGCCTCTCGAGGCCGAAGGGCGTCGCTGGAGCCCTCGGACCTCCGGAGGCCTCGTGGGAGCTCTGGAGACTGCGGGGATCGGTAGGCAGGGGGGGCAGGAGGAGGAGGAGGAGGAGGAGGAGGAGGAGGAGGAGGAGGAGGAGGAGGGAGAGGAGGAGGGAGGAGGAGGCGGAGGAGGAGGAAAGAGGAGGAGGAGAAGGAAGAGGGAGGGAGGGAGGGATGCGGTCCGGCAAGCGAGCCAAGGCGGGACGGGCGCGCACCCCCAAGCCTGGGAGTCCCCCTTTGTGTGGTGGTGGGGGCCCGCACGGGTGCCCCCAGGCCGAGACCCCGAGGGAGGCGGGGAGCGGAGGGGAGGAGGCTGGGAATGGAGAAGCGGCGCCAATGACATATGTAGTCATAGCACTGGACAATAAACATGCTCTAAGCTCGCGGGGCCGCGAGACAGCATGGATGAGCACGCGCGCGTACCGGAAGACGAACTCCACGAAAAACCATGGCTGGCAAGACAACCCTCCAAGAACTGAGCGAATGTGAAACATCACGGCCCGGCCAGGAAATGTTGCAACCGACACGGCGCGGGGAGGGGAGGGAGGGGGAGGGGGAGGGGAAGGGGAAGGAAGGGACGGGGGGGAGGGATCGGGGCTGCCAGGAGCCGGGAGCATGCCGTGAGTGGGGGGGC